CTGACAAATGTCAAAATTTCAATGCAAACAATTTTTTAAAAACCTTTTTTCCTGCTTGAGAAAAACGTCATTATAAACATGAATAATGAAGACTGGCACGTGACAATAACTTACTGAAGAGAAACTTTAAATCTCCCAATTTGACAGTAAAGATTCATTTAAAATGAGGCAGTTCCATTTTCTGTGCCCTTCTGCTGATTCTTCATTCGATACTTCTGGTTTGTAGATCAGTAGATTTGGATTCTTAAAAAATCCAGAAGAAGCCTTTCTAATAACACAAATTTAAGTTCAAACAACCTACATGTGAACCCAGGAACATGAAAAATAGGTGAAGGGGTAGGCCATCCAGCCCTTCAAATTTATTCTGCCATTCAACATGATCATGGCTGATCATCCAAATCAGTCCTCTGTTCCCGCTTTCTCCCATAGTCTTTGATCCCTTTGCCTTAAGAACTACAAGCTCTTGTAACTTATTTAGTGCAGCCATTCTCGTCAAGTTAGGAAGACAATGAAATCCTCTAAGGTAAGCTTTCCTTCATGGGTTTTGAAGGAGTAAGAATACAAGAAGAAAATCTGGCACCCTGCTACTATTAACTCAACCACTAACCAGCTGCAAGATGTTCACAGCATCCACATCCAGCCAGCTTTCAGAATTCAGTGCCCAAGCACTGTCTGATCCTTACTGACCTTTTCCCTTACATCCCACCCTAACCCAATTCCGACTTGCCAGTTGCTGTTTGCCTTGGTTAGTAAGTTTGCAGATGACAGAAAAATTGGAGGTGTAGTGGACAGTCAAGAAGGTTACCTCAGAGTACAGTGGGATCTTGATCAGATGGGTCGATGGGCTGACAAGTGGCAGATGGAGTTTAATTTAGATAAATGTGAGGTGTTGCATTTTGGAAAGGCAAATCAGGGCAGAACTTACACACTTAATGGTAAGGTCCTGGGGAGTGTTGCTGAACAAAGAGACCATGGAATGCAGATTCATTGTTTCTTGAAAGTGGAGTTGTAGGTACATAGCATAGTTAAGAAGGCATTTGGTATGCTTGCCTTTATTGGAAAGTGCACTAAGTATAGGAGTTGGCGGGTCATGTTGCGTCTGTACAGGACATTGGTTAGGCCACTTTTGGAATACTGCATGCAATTCTGGTCACCCTACCATAGGAAGGATATTGTGAAACTTGAAAGGTTCAGAAAAGATTTACAAGGATGTTGCCAGGGTTGGAGGGTTGAGCTATAGGGAGAAGCTGAATAGGCTGGGGCTATTTTCCCTGGAGTGTTGGAAGCTGAGGAGTAATCTTATAGAGGTTTATAAAATTAAGAAGGGCACAGATAAGGTAAATAGACAAGGTCTTTTCACTGGAGTGGGAGATTCCAAAACTAGAGGGCATAGGTTAAAGGTGAGAGGGGAAAGATTTAAAAAGGACCTAACAGGCAACTTTTTGACACAGAGGGTGGTATGTATACGGAATGGGTTGCCAGAGGAAATGGAGGAGGCTGGTACAATTACAACATTTAAAAGTCATCTGGACGGGTATATGAATAGTAAGGATTTAGAGGGATATGGGCCAAATGCTGGCAAATGGGACTAGATATATCTGGTCAGCATGGACGAATTGGATCAAAGGGTCAGCTTCTGTGCTGTACATCTCTATGACTAGCATTCGGATGGGGCTCCATGCCTCCAATGAAGACTGCAGTGGCAGATAGGCGAACACTTCTGCTGAGATGGGGAAAGTAGAAAAGCACAAGGGAGAAGTGGCAAGTTTCAATGAGAAGAAAATTCAAAGAAGCTCAAATGGAGCATGAACGCTGGCAATGGATTGGTTGGATTGAAATGCCTGTTTCTGTGCTCCCGTACAATCAATATCATCCTCAAAATGCTCAGCAGAATTTAACAATTCATAGGTGAGTACGATTAGCTTTATAAGCTACTTTTCATTATTTAGCTAGTGGTGCTTCAACATGTTACCTTAAAGAATAACTGATGTCCTTATGAGGCAAAAATCACACAATATTTTTTATTTGTTGCAACTTCATTTGCCTTCTGAAACCTCTTTATCTTACAGTCTGTTAAAATCACTGACAAAACAAGCAAGTGGAAGGTATTAAAACCAGCTTAGAGCATCAAGCTGTCTACTTCAGTCTGATTTCCAGTTTTCTCAGAGCAGCTCTGTTTTATATCCATACAAACTGGAGCAAGATTTGGCCCCTTGGGTCTGCTCCACCATTCAAGAAGATCACGGCTGATCTGATTGTGGCCTCAACTCCACTTTCCTCTCTCCCCCTCAAGTCCTTTGTCAATCAAAAATCCATCAAATTCAGCCTTAAAAATCTTCAATGCTCTGTCTCCACTGCTCTATCGGGAGAATAATTCCCCAGGTGAACAAAAAAATCACTTCATCTCTTGTCTTAAGTGAAGTATCAATTATTTTTAAACCATGTCTCTTAATTCTAGTCTCTCCCATAAAGGGAAACACGCACCCTGTCAGTTTTCCTTTGGATCTTTCATTTCAATAAGATCACCTCTCATTCCTCTAAAGTCCAATAGATACAGGCAAAACCTGTCCACTCTTTCCTAAGATATCCCTTCATCGCAGAAATTCGTTGTATGAACCTTCTCTGAGTTACTTCTAATGTCATTATTTCATTTCCCAAGTAAGTCAAAGGTCAGTTTTATTCATAAAACATAGGCACTGAACGATACGGTAAAATATAAAATTCATTAAACTAAAATATAAGCGTTGAATGCAAATTCAAAATTGTTCAAAATCACAAGGGACTAACAAGAAATGCATGGCATCAGTGAATGTAAAGTGATTGCTGTCAGAGATCAGAAAGTGCAATTAACCATGAACATCTGATTTATTTTCATCCCCGTTGTGACAATGGTTGTAAACTACTAGCATCAATAACTGGAAGCTGTGAATGGTTTGATAAATCTGATTAAATGTTTACAAAATTTTGTTTACCAAAAATCCTTTGTTCAAAGTAAGCCCATAGTTTTTTAATGTCATCCCTGTGCTTTGCTGATACAGGTATGCATTAGCAACAGCTACTTCAGACAACATTGTTGCAAATGTATACTTTAAGCTAAAATGGTGATGAGTCACTTGACATGTCTTAAAAACTGCCATTTTATGCATATTACATAGAAGACATATATATGTTCCATATAAGAACTCTGACAGTCCCCCTGGGATACCATGGTAATACAACTTATAGACATGAAAACAACAAATACTGGAAATCATAGCAGGTCAGAAGCATCCATGGAGAGAGATCAAGCTAACGTTTCGAGTCTAGAGTCTAGACTCGAAATGTTAGCTTGCTCTCTCTCCATGGATGAGGATAGGGCAGTGGATGTTGCCTACAAGGACTTCAGTAAGGCCTTTGACAAGGTCCCGCACGGCAGGCTAGTCATGAAGGTTAGGCTGCATGGGATCCAGGGAGAGCGAGCTAATTGGATTAAAAATTGGCTGGATGGTAGGAAGCAGAGGATGATGGTTCAAGGTTGTTTCTCAGCCTGTGACCAGTGGTGTGCCACAGGGATTGGTGCTGGGACCTTTGTTATTTACATAAATGATCTGGATGTACAAGGCATGGTTAGTAAGTTTGCGGATGATACAAAATTAGGAGGTATAGTTGATAGTGAGGAAGATTATCAAAAATTACAAAGGGATCTTGATCAGATGGGGAAATGGGCTGAGGATTGGCAAATGCAATTCAATACACATAACTGTAAAATCAAACCAAGGTAGGACTTATACAGTAAATGGTAAGGTCCTGACGAGTGTTGTGGAACAGATGGACCTAGGAGTACAAGTACATTGTTCACTGAAAGCGACGTCACAGGTAGATAGAGTGGTGAAGAAGGCATTTAGTATGCTGGCCTTCATCGGCCGAGGTACTGAGTATAGGAGTTAGAATGTTATGTTACAGTTGTATAAGTCGTTGGTGAGGCTGCATTTGGAGTATTGTGTACAGTTTTGGTCACCCTGTTATAAGGAAAGACATAGTTAAACTGGAAAGTGTGCAAAGAACATTTACGAGGATGTTGCCAGGACTAGAGGGCCTGAGTTGCAGGGAGACATTGGCAAGGATAGGACTGTATTCCTTGGAACATAGGAGAATGAGGGGTGACCTTATTGAGGTGTATAAAATCATGAGGGGCACAGATAAGATGAATGCATATAATCTTTTTCCCAGGGATGGGGAATTGAAAACTAGAGGGCATAGGTTTAAGGTAAGAGGGGAAAGATTTAAGAAGGACCTGAGGGGCAACTTCTTCACACAGAGTGGTGCATATATGGAATGGGCTGCCAGAGAAAGTGGTTGAGGCAGGTACAATAACAACATTTAAAAAACATTTGGATGGATACATGGATGGGAAGGGTTTAGAGGGATATGGACCAAATATGGGCAAATGGAACTAGCTAAGTGCGCACCATGGTCAGCATGGACCAGTTTGGGCGAAGGACCTGTTTCCATGCTGTATTAGCCTATGACTCTATGACAAGCCAAAAGGATGGAAAAGTTTCCATACAATTCTACAGGAATAATCTTGAATCAATTAAAGTTGATTTCTGCAGTGTATTATTTAGAGAAAATAAACTTTACAATACAAACAAAGTTTATAAGTGACATGGGAAATGACCATGTCCTGTTCATATAGTCCCGGTATGGGAGGAATTTTTCTGCTCAAAATAATCATTTAAGTTGGCCTAACAAAAATATACCAATAGGGGTCAGACCTTCTAACCAACCAGATAGTCAACTTTCAGTAACCTAGTTCTGAAAAACTTTGCAACATTTGAATCTATGGCATCATCCAGCCAATGGAATTTATTGTTGTAACTGTATGTTTGGGATCAGCTCCCAGGTTGATCATCATTCCCATTGAAATGAACAGTTTAGATCTGGAAATACACAGGCTTCTTCCTTGTAACTGAATCAATTACAAGAGTTGAGAAAACACAGCAAATTAAGTATCTGCATGATTGCTTGAAAAGTGATGTATTTATTACTCTATAGTTCACCAATACATGGCTCAAAGGGAATATTTAGAACAGAATGTCCTCCCTTTAGATTTTCCCTGCCCTTTAATGATTTTAGAGTGAACGTTAAATTTTCACATGGCAAAATCTATACATAGAATTTCACAAGCCAATCTATCAGATTCTCTGATCGTTCCAGTACTGCAAGCCTAGTGACATATCGAAAATATAACAAAAATGTCAGCACCTTACATTTTATCATGATCATGCATATTTATTAATTATTCTAAAGTTTGTTTTCATGGTCCCATAGGTAAGAAAAAGCTCTTTTAACAGGACGTCTCTTTGATTGCTGGCACAATTAATGTTTAATCTCTGAACTGACAGTCCTGTATGTATATACTTCCACTGTTAAAGTTACATTGCATTATATCCCCACACACATTTTGGTCCATGTAGCATTTATCTTGTAAATGGCCTTGTCAGAAGCAGTTGTAATGAAACACTTTTCTCAATGAATTTCTAATAAAAAATTAAAATCTAACAGCAGTGCTAAATACAATTTTGAATGTTACATTCCCCACAGGTTGACACGATAGAGATTAATTTATTTAATATCACGTCTAATCTGGTTTATGTACAACTGAATAGATGCTAACAAAGGAGCAGATGACTTTAACTTCTTCCTAAGTAATTAATCACCAAAACAGTGTATATGAAATGTCAGCACCACTACTGTTAGCTCTCTCCAGTTCTCTGTCACTGCACTTCAATTTATTTTCACCAAGAACTGTATACAATTGAACAGATAAATGTGTTCACAAACCTGTTGGATGATGAACGTAAAATGTGATGGAGGATGATTGAGAGCTTTTGGTGAAAACAACTGAGATGGGCAGCTAAATGGATTAGTGGAATGCTACGGCTGAAGTGGGCTGCAAGAATGCTGAAGACTGATAACAGGGTTGAATGGAGATGAGAAAGGCCAGCTACAGTGTCAACGATGAGGTTATTACACTTGGTTTGCTTTTGGGAAACTTTAAGAATTTGACAGTTGATGGAAGAGAAGAAATAGAGGGACAAAAGATTATTGTGGTCTGATGTTCCAATTCTGGCAAGGATGTTATCCAAGGTGAATTATGACTGGGTCTTGTTTGGTCAGAAAGTTCTGAAGCAGAAAGACTAAACTTGTTAATGTAACAGCTAATAAGGCGTTCAAGAGAAAAAGAATTTTCTCGCATTGCAATTCACACAATTCACATTTACAGCATAAACTTTGAGAGTAAGTAATTGTAGCCAATATGCATTTTCGGTAGAATTTGTAAGCCTAACATTGAGGAAAATCACCTTAGACTTTAGCATTTGCTTGTTAAGTGGAGGAATTACAGTGAATTTTATAAAATTTAATAAAAAATGTAAAACTGAAAGCATAAAGATGGATCTAAAATATTCCAAACCAACAATATTGTTTCCAGAAAATGATACAAGCAGAATTAAATTTTTAAGTTGTTTTGGACATGTTTGTTTCCACATTAATTTTAAGACTGCTGTGTCTCATTTGGAAAACAATACTGTTTATTGATCTTCTATGATTAAAAGAAACATTCTCTACATTGGCAGATAGTAAAGTGTTCCAACTGTGGTGTCTCAATTACACCTTCACTCACTAGGAATGGCGAGTTGAGTACGGAGTGCCAGTTGTAGCTTTGTGCAACAGTGACAATTCTGTATTGATTCCCCTTCCTTACTGAGAATTGACGTTTCAGTTGTTATTTTGTAAAAATCTTAGAACAAAGTTAAGATGCTATTGTTAATATCTGTGTCTTTGAATTAGTCATTATTCGTGCATGAGAAGCATTTTATTACTGTGAACCTTACCACACTCTCAGAAGAATTAATGTGAGTGGACAAGACCTTTATTAATGCAGCTGCCGTCATTTCACAGCCTATAACGATATAAATGTGCAATGACTGATCAGAACTGCCTAAAGAACAAAATTTGGCATTTAAATTGTGAGACTAGAACCAGGTGATTATAATGAATTTCAGAGTTGGAAACTATGCACATTTTATATTTTAAAAAAAACTGGGTTCTGATTAAATGGCTTCCAGTTCGTATTGAAGAGTCTGTTAACAAAATAAAACTCATACTCAATCCATTTTTTCAAAAAAAAAGTGGTGAAAGAAGAAACAGCACTTAGCAACTCTCAATGTCAATAAATTACATCTGGCTTGAAGTTTTTTCTGGTTGATATTTATCTGCCATCCAAACGGTGTGAAATTCAGTAACAGTGCTTTTGTAAATTGGTGCAGAAATTTTTAATCCCCTCAGATGCAGTCTATAGACACAGGAGTGGTCATTAATATGCTCAACAAGTGAACACAAAGAAGCTGACATGTTTTTGGTGCTTGGGCAAGGGCATTAGGAATTAAGGCAAAAATGTAACAAATAAATGTTCCAATTGTGCTACCACAATAAATAATCAATACAGACTGTAAACATTTCAAACTGTGCAAGTGAAAGGGAGTCTTATCCTATACTTATATTTCTATGAAGCGAATAATGCATTCCAAATTACTAACAATGTACAAGACCCATGAGAACCTGACAGCTTTCAAAATCATTTCCCACGATGTAACACTGTCACTCTATCTTCCTCGGCTTAACTCAGCTGTGTATTGAAAGGTTATCTGATGTTGCGCACAAAGGGGTGTACGCTGGAATCTTTTCTCAGTTCACAGGTCAAAGGTCACCACTCTGAGGCTCAGGATTTCGTGTCTCCCTGGGGTGAGTCCTGCTCAATCTAGAAAACTTAGAGACGACCTTTGACTGTGCCTTACTTGCAGGTTCCCCAGTTGGCTGTACATCACTGTGGAGATAAAAACAATGGATTATTTGCTAGTTGAAAAATAACAACATTCTAATAATCCAGCTCATGGCGACTCAATGATTTGAAGTGGATGTGAGTCAACAACAGAAAAGATCCTTGGCTTTTTTAATTGTTTCAATTCAGAACACTGACACTTTGTAGGTACCGATGTTAAAAAAAAATGACTCACTGGAGAAACCCAATTAAAACTGTTTCAGAGTTTTCCGAAGCCATGTTTGTATATCACAAGAGACTAGTTCTATGATATGCAACTGACATGATCTACATGTTGCTCTGACATCTGAAATGTAATTGGTTTAAGGCAGTGGGTCTCAGTAGAATTCAGTTTGTGAGAAATGGTGTGAGCCTACTTTGGGGAGCTGGTCTTTCATTATTTTTTAATCAGATGTAAGACGCCTCCAACTGATGAGCAATGTAACACGCATGAGAACATGCCAGTTTTCCAGATCATTTCCTATAAAATAACAGTCGCTTTGTTTCTCTCTGCTTAACTCAGCTTTATCAAACTTTTAAGAACTTTAACTGACAGTAGCAAGCTTGTCACCATACTTATTATGTTCTGAACATAATGCCACAACAATGACTGCTTACTCATAGGAAGGGGCAGGTTTGGTCACAAATGTCCAATATTCTCAACAAGGCTGGGGATGGGGGAATCCTGCCAGTCTCAACAGCAGGAACTCATTTAACTTTGTGCAATTCCGTTTTCCAGCCCAGTAACCAGCCAAACTCACAGCATGGTCGGTGTGAGGAGAGGAAAACAAGCCTCAGGAAGTTGTATCCTAATATGCAAACTGGGGAAAAATAAGCTTATGAACTAGAGGACTGTGAAGAGAATTTCGACTCCTTCTGGCTCAAAAAACAGCCACTTCCTTTGGGGAGCTGGCAGTTCACCAATCTGTTTCACTGCCATGCTCCCCAGCTGCTGGGAAACCATGCAGCAGTCTGTATAATATCCTGACACTTGACAATCCTAATACTGCCCTGGGTGCCCTCCCATTTTCCATCCTTCATGAACCTTTGCTTATCCAAAACTCCACACTCCATACGCTTACTTATACCTGGGGCTGTGCAACCATTCCTTGAACTGGATCCAGATCTAACTTTCCATTTTAAAATGCTTGTCCTGGTTTTCAGGTCACTACGTGGCCTCAGCCCACACTATCTTGGTAATCTCCTTTAGTCTACCACCCTGTGAGTTCTGTGTGCTCCTTGAATTTCAGCTTCTTCTACATCCTCTTTAAAAACCCCAGGTGGTTGAGCAATTCGGCTGTGTTGGCCATAAGCACTGCGCCTTGTTTCTCCATCTCTCTTCTGTTGAGACGAGCTTCAAGTATTTCATCATTAACATTTTGTGCCTTTGCATATTTCATCAATCATGGCTCACTGTGAACATATTACGAAGTTACCTGATTCACTTGTCACCTCTTTGGAAAAATATGATTTAGCAGAAAAGGCAGAGGAGTAAATTTTAATACGAGTCTATTCCAGTGATAAATTGCAATAATTTTCTCAATTATGTTTTCTCAGTAAGTATAACAAAGGCAAATATGAATCTAAATTATATACAATCTGTGTTTTTGATATGCAGAATAAACGAATGACATTGATCCATTACCTGCCCTCACCTGGGACATGGATTTAATTATGCAACCATCAATTTTAAATAAAAACCCTTCAAACTACATGTTACCTAAATTCCCAGCTCTAAATCCAGTTGCTGAGTGTAGTGTATCCAGGCCACATGGAATGGTCAACCAACTACTGAAACTGGATTATGAACACATTTCTAGCCATTTGGTGCAACTAATTGCAATAGATTTGATGAAAATATAAGAATAGAATATTTTACATTGCCATTGAATGCATGCAACTGCAAATGTTAAATTGTAATCAGCATTTTTCTCTCGATATCACCTCATTTCATGACTAGCAATGCTGTGCAGCAGGACTTGTTTTCAAACAGTTTCCATACTGCATGCATTCCATTGCATTGTCAGGTTTATAGACAAGCTATAATTTTAATAGATGGATGGATCTTTTCTCAGATTTCAAAATCAAAGTAAACTTACAGTTCAGTTCTTGGCCAATTTAGACCAACTAATGGAACACAGGTCATCAGAAAATTCCTCAGATTGTGGCACATTTCAATAAAATCACAATAAAGAAGACCAATATGATTATGCCAATAATAACATCTTGCATTTGCATGGCATTTTTAATGCAATGAATGATCTCAAAGCACTTTGCTGGAATGACTATCAAACTAAATGTGACTCTGAGCCAACAACAGACAGTAGGTCAGATGTCCAAAAGCTTGGTTCAAGAGGTAAGAAGACAGAGATAGAGACTGACAAACAGTCAGATGGGGATAGAACAGTCAGTAGTGGGTAATGTCAACGGACTAGTAATCCAGAGGCTGAGGTTAATACTCTGGCAACATAGGTTCAAATCCCACCATAGAAGCTGGTGGAATTTAAGTTCAGTTCAGTCAGGATCCTATTGAATGGCAGAGCAGCTCAAATGGCTGGATGGGCTGTTCCCATTTCTTATGGTCTTATAGATTCCAGCTGGAGGATTATTCTTTCTCCATTTACTGTTCTTTTAAGAATGGTGAAACTTTCCATGAGATCACCCTCATTCTTCTAAACTCCAGAGAATAAAGGATTAGTCTCCTTAATCTCTCTTTATAGACAGCCCCAAACTCCTAGATCCACCAACCTGAGACTGACCCATTTATCCTGTTCTTTGCTTTATGCCTGCTAGTCACTCCTCAATCTATGCAGGTGCATTTTACTGCAAAACCATGCACTTGAATTCTGTTTACTAACCTCTTCTATATCAAAAGCCTTCTGAAAATCCAAACACACCACATCCACTGGTTTCTGCTATTGACTCTGTCAGTAGAATCCTCAAAATACTCTACCAAGTTTGTCATACACGATTTCCCCTTCATGAATTCACACGGATTCTGCTCAAAAGACAATTATCTTCTGAATATCCAGAATCACGTCTTTTAAAATAGGTTCTAGCATTTTCCTTACTACTGATGTCAAACTAACAGATCTGTGGTTTTCCCTTTATTTCTCTCCATGCTTTTTAAAACAGTGGGAATACATTTACAATCTCCAAATCTGCAGGCAATGTCTCAGAACCAACAGAATTTCGAATATGATTGCCAATGGATCCACAATTCCTGTAGCCATCTCCTTAAACACTCCAGGGTGGAAGTCATTAATCCTGGGGATTTAGCATTTTTCAGTCCCATTATTTTCTCCAGTACTACTTTTATATTAATACTAATTTCTTTCAGTTCTATATTCTCACAAGACTCTTGGATCTTGATTATTTCAAAGAGACTTCTTGTGTCTTCCTCTGTGAAGACAGACACAAATCGTTAATTGAGCTTTTCTGTCATTTCTCTTTTTCCCGTTATAAACTTAATATAAAATGGACCTACGTTTATCTTTGGTATTCTTTTTCACTTTAAAAAAAACACAGAACCTTTCACAATCCTTCGTTTCTTCCTATTTTACATTCAGATTCTACTTTCCCTTTCTTTATCCTCCATTGCTGAATTCTATAATCCTCCCAATCCTCAGGCATACAACATTTTTGGGCAACTTTATACGTCTCTTCCTTTGATTGAACACCATCTTTAATGTCCCCTGTGACCCACACTTCTCTTACTTTTTCTGTTGAGTATTTTTGCCTTAAAGGAACATAAAATCTGTCATATAAAGTCTCAGTCTCTTGGTGACAATGAAACCACCGTCGACCGTTGTAAAAACCAATTTGGTTCACTAATGTCCTTTAGGGAAGGAAATTCCCCATCCTTTCAAAGTCCATATGACTCCAGAGGCACAGAAAAGTGGTTGACTCTTAAATGACCTCTGAAATGACCCTAGCAAGCCTCTCAGTTTTCAGCGTTAATTAGGGATCCGCAATAAAATGCTGGCTTTGCCAGCGACACCTGCATTCCATGAATGAATAAAGAAACAAAAAGCAATAATTCAAGTTAGCATCATTGCTGAAGAATGTTTGACATTGTGCTGAATCTTATTCCTGAGAAGAGGTGGCCTGGGGCTGTGAGTTGCTAGATTCTGAAAAATCTCAATGGCGATCAGATCAGGGGCATGAAGCCAACACACTCATAAGGCTGAAGTCTCTGATTTAAACAGCTCTGCATCTTAACTGTGCTTGGGTGTGGTTTTCTCAGTCCTCAGAACAGCTAACAGCTGTATGGAGGGTAGGGCCGGGGTGAAGAGAAAGTTGGTGCTTCTCCCTCACAATCCAAACAGCGCGGGTGCTGGGGACCAGACAGTGTTCCCTGGGGTCAGGTACACAAACCCCCGGGTATCAGAACTCGCCATACGCTCAGGAATTGGATCCTCAAACCAATATCATCCACAAGGGTAGTAGGAGCTGACGATGCTGGAGAATCTGAGATAACAAGGTGTAGAGCTGGATGAACACAGCAGGCCAAGCAGCATCAGAGGAGCAGGAAAGCTGACGTTTCGGGTCTAGACCCTTCTTCAGAACTGGATGCAACCCCCTCCTCCTCTGAGCATAATCTGCCTTGTCAACAGAAAGCCAATGAATTTGTGGAAACAAACAGAAAATGAAGGAGATGCCAGTGTATTGGCCTTAAGAAGTTGTAGAATATTGAATACAGTAAAAGCTTTTCTAGAAGTCTGATCATAGTTTTCAGAGCGGAGTGATTCGGAAATGGAGCCTGTCATACTCCTCAAAGAAGAGGCACTGTTCTTTTAAACACCATCACTGAATTCAGCTCTGTTTGCTCTACATAAAGATAAAACCCAAAGGAAACAGTGTGTGACTTTACAGGGTATCATTCCTGGAATTTCAGTCACCTAGTTTTCATCTGCAAAGATACAGAAGAGTCAATGTGATAGGCTGTCCCTCCCTCCAAACCATAACGAGATCACCCACTGAGTATTAAAACAGGACTGTCACAT